AGACCTAATGCTTACAGTATCTGAGAAACAGACATAATCATGTAACTTTAACCTTGATCACTGATACATGAAATGAGGTCAGGGTCCGGTGAACCCTGTCTGATGGACATATAAACCTTGCAAGCCACCCATACACCAAATATAGTTCGCCTATTACTAATAATAAGTGAGAAATTCATCTAACAAAAAAACTTAATTTTTTTTCAAGCAGTTGCTGAATCATGAAAATGAGGTCAAGGACAACAGACATATGACAGACAGAAACTTAGTAACATGAGGCATCTGTAAACAAGGTATGTTTTTTTAAGCCTCTAGGTTTATTATTTTGAATTATTTGCCAAATGTTTAATATAAGGCAGGCGTTACCTGTGAAAGGGGACGAAGTCTGTTTACATTATTTTTTTAATTCAAGCATATTAACTTCAGTCGTTCAGAATCTGTCAAAAAGAAACAGAAATACGTAAACGTTTCCGACGTTGGTCCTGTTGTTAGGGATTTTAGTTGTATAAATAAGAAATTGTGGTATGAGTGCCAATGAGACAACTCTCCATCCAAGTCAAAATGTATAAAAAGTTAACATTGAATTAACAAATAAAGAACAAAGATATAATAAACATGTGAAAGCTCTCTCACAGGCAAACAACCCATAATTGTAAAATATAAGGGCATACACCACAACGTCATTTTCAATATAAAAAAAGAAACGCTACCATCAGTTACGTTTTTTTTTTTCATATCAAAGAATTTACAACATATTAACGGGAAACAATATGATGCTCCTTCCAATATTTTACAAGTCTCGTGACAAATGAGACCGGAAGAAAGAAAGTGAATTATGCGCAAATGCGGGAAACTAAAAAAAGTTAAAAAAAAGTAAACGATTTTGAATTTCATTAGAATATATATTGTTTTTGTTTCTTTGTTTTTATTTCTTCATTTTATTGATTTTCTTACCATAATTGTGGACTACGTCCCCATATCATTTTAGAACACAGTAATAATAGATAGACAGAACATAAATAGCACAAAAGAATGACAAACAAGATAATATTCCAATATAAATGAAACCATCAATTTTCTACATTTATATTATAGGAGATATTGCCCTATATAATCTAAAATTACAACATTTTTGGTAACAATATATTAGGTTTTCTTTATTGATGATAATCTGTCTTTTACAAGATAACAGGTACAGGGGAAATAAAATCATGGAATTTTTATTTTTGTAGAAATTGTAAATTCAGTCATGGAGCCAAAACAAATCTGACTTGTCCCATGGAGGATTGCATTCAAGAGTTTAAGAACAAAGGAGTTTTATTCATTTTCCAAGGGAGTGTCAATACCAATTAGAAAAGGAATTATTAAGTGACAAAGCAAAAATAATCTATGCCAGCAAATATTCTCAGGCCTCATCCGGTTGTCCTGAAATGAGTTCTGTGAGGGTATTCGAGGTTGAGGAACAGAAGGACAAAAATTTGAAGTTGGGCTTTAAAAATCAAAATCAAAAAAACATCTTCAACGAAAAGCAAAAAACTGTATGGTTCAAAAATTTGATATAGGCAAACAAACTGGGAGTAAAGCTGATATATATATATATAAGAAATTTATTCCTCCTCCCAAACACCAATATTGAAAAAAAATTACCAGTGTATTGATTATTGATAATTTGTATAGCATTCAAGATTTTGTATTTCAGTTTGACTACCACATGTCAAGATAAGATTCATTTTACATCTTACTGATGAAGGATATTAGTTATCCGAAATATCTAAAATTTGTTCATGATTTATTTATTTTTTGGTGATGTTGTACCCTTTTAGATTTGTTATATATTATATTTTGTAGTGTACTGTATCATAATTTTATGATCCATCGCCCCGTAAGATTTATCGTTGGCTATTATTCAGTCATTTTATATATATATATTCGAATTCCGACAAGGGAAGAACAAAAAATTTGCGAAAGCAAATTTACAGATCTAACATTTTTGGGCTGATGTTTAGACGAGTTGTATATATATATATATATAAGTCTAAATTGAAAACAACGTTCAAACCTATGATTGCGTTGGATAAAAACCGCAATTTTTATACGTGTGCATGCAAAACAAATTTCTTGGTAGAGGGGTCTGAATACAGCACAAACAACATTTTCCAAAAGACCAAAACAGTGAAAAAGTATATTTAAACAAAACGCATTTGACTAACAGGTCGAACAACGGATGTTCTTAAACCCTGCTGACTGCCATTGGCGAATGCCTAATAAACGGATCACAAGATGTAACAAAATCGATCTTTGTTATAATTTAATACCAAACAGAAAACAATAAACTTGCGAAAAAGATGGTATACCGCAAACATGAGGTGCAAAAATTTGTACACCATATCCGGATTTCGACAATTAATGTCTCTTCAGTGATGTTAGGAATCGAAACGGTATTTGGAAGGCCATATAATTTATCTCAATTTAGGATAGACTCTTGAATTTTGAAGAGTCGAAATAGGATGAACGGATCATATAAACCCGAAGTGAAATATAATACAAGATCTGATGGCCATGGATCCATTTAAGAATAATTTCTCACTGCTCAACAAAAATAAAAAAGGAAATTATTGAAATCACTTATGACCATCTGTTTTAATATGATTAATGAAGTATCTAAGAAATAAATGTAAAATAAGGAGGTGTGGTATGGTTGTCAATTAGATAACTATCTACCGGTCAAAATGATACAGATAAACACAACTATAGGTTACCATACAGCCTTCAACAACGAGCAAAATCCATACCGTAAAGTCTGCTAAAAAAAGGTCATGAAATGACAAACTGCGTTAATTGTCAAAGAAAAAATTCAGGGTCTGAAAAATATACAAATGAGAGAGAGCATCCAACAAAAAACACTGGATTATAGGATCCTGACTTGGGACAGGGAAATACAGAACATTTCAGTGTTAAAAATGAATGTTTTTGAGCGCTCAACCATATTACAATTGTGTTCGACCTCTATAAGCAAAAAAAGCTATACTCGTTGATCCAAACCATCATAAAGCATGCCTGTCATTGCATTCGAAATAAAACCAAAGGGTATTTTTTTTAGATATCCTATCAAGTCTGTGAATATGCAAATTTTGTCACATATACAATATACAGGTACATTGTCGAAAAACACCAAATTTATTTTTCTTAGCTTTACAAAATGCTTTAGAAACGGGAAGAAAAGCGAAAGATTTTCTACTAGTTTGTAGCAAGTACATGTACAAATACATTACATATTTTCTGATAATGTACATATATATTATTGTTATTCTGCAGAAGGCAAACCATTATTTGTATACCGGTCATTGTTAATTGCAGAATAAAATATTTTAGTCATAATATACAAGTCAGGTTTTCTAGATTGTAGGATGGTTTTTTATACCCTGCTTATGATCTACAAGCATGACAAGTACCATTATAAGATATATATTATAATTTTTATAGTTATACTATTAAATCACTTATAAAAAGAGAATTAATATGTTTGGTAAAAAAAAACAATTCTAGTTGGTTTGTTTTGCATTCAAACTTTTTGTGGTCAATTTGATATTTGAGATATATATGCCTTTAAATCACAACATACTGATGATTAAAGAAAGCGTTACATTGAATTAGTAGCTATGATTACCAAGTTCTTTAATTGAATATTTTTTGTTATGAATAAAATGAACTTCTTGATGTTTAATATAACTTTTCAATGAAATTTAAACCCTTTTGAAAAAAAAATTACCAATTTTTCTTTGATTTTCATAAAAAGTGAATTTCTTATTTATTCAGACTTGGTTACCATAGCAACCATTTTTTAAAAATCTGCTTCTATTGATCATAATTGGATTGAACAATATTTTTATACAAGAAGGAAGCATTATTGTATTTGACTTAACCATCTGTTTTCATATGATTAATGAAGTATCTAAGAAAATAAGAATTTTGAAAATTTGAGATTGTTTCCATTTTTTGTTTTTATACAGTATTCCTGAATATGATTTGCCCATTGAATTTATTTTTGTTTTTGAAAGACTTATAGTTGTACCAGTAAATGACACTATACACAGACCTGAGAGGTGCTGCATTTTCTTTCAAATAGCATTTAAAATTACTATTCTCTGCACATTTTCCCTGAAATCGACAAAAGCCGTTTTGTTCTCTTATGACAAAACCTTTTGCAAATCAGTGGTTCATGGTAAAAATGAAATTTATATATCAGATTGATATAATATATTTAAAAAGAAGAAATAAACTGCTGGCATTTCTGTGTCAGGAAAGGTGAAAAGACCACTATTTTGACGGTGAAAAAGACCTCATTTTAGCAGAAATCTACTTTCATAATTACCATGGCAACCATACATCATTGGGACAAAATATGTTCCATTTTTTTTCTTATATAGAGTTCTTAATATAATACAATAGTTTTATCAATATCTGAAACTATGCGTGCCAGACCCCTTCGGAATATTTCTTATGATTACAGAGAATTGATCATAAATCTTTACTTTTCAATTTCTATGATCGCCATCATTGCTCGAAACAATAGACAACGTGTCCCTGAATCCTAGTGTTTATCCTTAACTGTCACTGATCCCGATGAAAGGGTATTGTATTTCTGTTAATACCGTTGTTGTATTATTTTTCTTGCTTTGACCATTGCTCTTATATTTCGGACTTCGGAATTGTGTATACGTATAAAACGATATGCCTACCCTGCATCAATATTTAGCCTCTTTCTTTTTCGAAATTTATTCAATTTCGAAATGTTTTTTACCTTAACAATAAATTTTGGTGCATTTAAATATGAATTACCACATAATAAAAGAAATGAAAATTAAAATTAAAAAAATTTATATCGATTTCAAATTATAAGGTTACTCTTTCAAGTTGAAATCAGGTGGACTTATATCTCAATATTAAGTTAAGATTGTTGAAAAATTAAAACTATTAAATTAATGTCAAGACGGTCTTACCTCCAAATACGAAAGTCAAGACAAAAATCAAAACGTTCATCAACATGATGATCCGTTCCTCTTGGTGGTTGAATTAAAAACGACCTAGTTATAGAAGAATTCGTTTTAGATGTGATACATGTACAGTAATTTCAGAAAAAATATCATTGTTGATAGTCTGTATCAAACTTATATCAAATGTTCTTAGGCTTGGGGATGATTTACAGCTTTACTTTTTGTCGGCACTTGTCTTTTTTGACGTATATATGTCTTTTATTTATATTGATATGCAAAAAACTAGATTTGTTGTAACATCCTCATTAAGATTTGTTATTACAGTTGTTCACAAATGATTGATATTGAAATTAAGATAAATTATGAGAGAAAAAAAACTTAGTTAAAATTAAAAATAACAAAAATACCGAACTTCATGGAAATGTCAAAGCGGAAAGTCCTTTATCAAATAGAAAAAAATCAAAAGCTCAAACACATCAAACGAATGGAAAACAAATATTATATTCCTGACTTGGTACATGCATTTCCTTTATAGAAAATGGTCGATTGAACCTGGTTTTATAGCTAACTAAACCTTTCACTTGTATGACAGTCGCATAGAATTCCATTATATTGACAACAACGTGTGAGCAAAACAAACAGACATAATAGGTAAAAATGTCAAAAATTGGGGTACAGCAGTCAACATTGTGTTATAATCATAATCACTATAAAACAAATAACTATTTCAACAAAGAAAAATAAAATGGCATATAGACACTATAAACACAAAGTACATGAGCAAACTGAAAGACAAGAATACAAAAAATCACCATAGCACAATAACACAATGGCGGGATGTAAAAATACCGTTCCACGCCAAAAGTATATTATATACATAATTATAAATCAACTGGTAACAAAAAAAAAAACTAAGGATTTTCTACCCCAGGAAAAGATTACCTTAGCTGTATTTGGCATAACTTTAAGGAATTTTGAGTCATCAATGCTCTTCAACCTTGTTTATTGTTTGACCTATTTAACTTTTCAGATTCGAGCGTAACTGACGAGTCTTTTGTAGACGAAACGCGCGTCTGAGGTACAAAATTTCAATCCTGGTATATATGATGAGTTTATTTACCAAAAATGTACTAAACAGTAATGGTGAAAAATATACAAAGACAAACAACAAGAACACTATAACATGTAATTAAGATGATAAAAAACGTCAGTTCCTAGAATCTATACTTCAAGACCATCATGTATTATTTTTGAAGTTGATACGGAATATTTATCAACAAGGTCTTGGTATCTTCCGAGACGTTCTTTGGCATTACCCTGGTTCATCAACTTTCTGCTCACACACTGGTGACGTTTTATAAAGTCTGAGCTGCAAGCTCTTGAATACCAAATGAGTTGGGAAATGTATATCCCATATGCAGGTGAAGTTGGTATATTGCTGCTAAAGTGGGAGAAATTAGATTATAGATGACCGTTTATGTCAAATTCGAGGTATAAGTCTAAAAATGAGGTGGATGAAGCCGTGTCTGTTTTTTCTTTTATTTCTAGTTCTGGAGGATATATTAATGAAACCCAATCAGAAAAGTTTGGAATGTTATTGAAAAGAACATCATCAAAATATCTGAATGTGAAATAAATGATCTGGCATCTTTGATCTTCTCGTTTTTGACAAGTGTCCGAAGAAACTCCGATTCGTATGAAAATAGGAAGAGGTCGGCAAGGAGAGGCGCAAAGTTCGTTACCATAGAAATGCCGACATTTTGTTGAAAAAAGTCGACCTCGAAATTCAACAAAAATGTTTTCGAGCTCACCTTTTGCTCAAAGGGCATGAAGTGACTCGAGAGAAACAACAAAACTAGATAACATGAGAAAGTTGATACAAAAGAACGGTACAGATAATACAAGGAATGAAAGGTGGGAAACAAAATTTTTTACATACAAAACTAATAAGAAGTAAAAAATGGCAACTCAAAGTGATAAACAATATGAACTCAAAGACAATGACAATATGGCGTACTACGCCGAGGTCGTGAGAACCGAGAGACAAAGTAATAAATTTGAAGATCCGGTAGGACCGTCATCAAATTTTCAAACACAGAAGCCAGTATGTATTCTAGAACAACATATAATATTATAAATGAATATAAAGATCAGGAGGGGCGTTATTTATTAATTAATGTTGAATTAGGAGACAATGTATATTCTCTTATAAACATATATGCACCACATATAGCAAAAACAAAAAAAAAAAGAAACGCCTTCTTCTTCTAGAATTGATGTCTTCCTTGTAAGTAAAGATTGCAAAACTCATAAAGTAAACAAAGGGAAAGGATACTGGAAATTAAGCTCATCAATACTGAATGAGAAGGACTATTGTTGCAATATAGAAAAACTCATACAATACTATGAAAATAAGGAAAGAAACTACAGAAAATTTAGGTATACTGTGAGATAACTTTCAAGCTGAAGTGAGGGACAGTAGTTTAGGTTTTTGCAAATGAGCAAAACAAAAAAAAAGTAAAAATTCACTCTTATGAAGAAGACCTTAATAAGCTAAATATTAGATTAGATCAAAGCGAGAGCAATAATAATTCTGATTTACTTTCACAGATAAATAATATAACTGACCATTTCGATCAATTATACCTTGAAAAAACAAAAGGAGCTCAAATAAGGTCAAGAGCAAAATGGATAGAAGACGGTGAAAAAAATACAGCTTTTTTCTTGAACCTAGAAAAATCAAGACAGGTATATAAAACCATAATAGAACTATACGACAATGAAGGCAAAACAACAACCGACCAAACTGAAATTATAAAACAAGAAGTAAAATATTATGAAAAGCTATATAAATCATCAAATCCAGACAAATTACAGACAAAAGAGTATATTCAAAACACTAAAATAGAAAACAAACCTATCAGATAAAGATAGCAAAAGTTTAGAAGATCCAGTAACATCTGAAGAAATTACAGAAGCAGTGTTTAAAATGAAACTTAACAAGGCTCCAGGTTAGATGGACTTAATGTAGAATTTTATAGGAAATTTTGGCCCTAAATCCAAAAATTATTATCCGAAGTATATTATGCGTCCTATAACAAGAAACATTTGACAAATTCACAAAAAAGGGGCCAATTTCATTAATCCTTAAAAAGAATGATCCAAAATCTCTTCAAAACTATAGGCCAAAAACTTTATTAAATGTTGATGTTACAATTCTTGCTTATACACTTGCGCAAAGGCTAGAGATAGTTTTACTAAATATTGTAAATGCTGACCAGAAGGATTTTGTGAAAAATAGATACATTGGGTTTAATATAAGACTTATTCAAGATGTAATTGACTATGCTGAACATTGCAATGAAGAGGGGGCATTTCCGGACTTTTCAAAAGCTTTTGATTCAGTTGAATGGATTTTCATGATACAAACATTAAAAAAAAAAATGGATTTAAAAAAGATTTTGTACATTGGGTTGATGCTACGTATAATGATATATCTGGGTGCATTGTAAATAATTTGTGGATATCAAACCCCTTTAAGATCTGTCGAGGAATTCGACAAGGATGTCGTTGTCTGCTCTGATTTTTGTACTAGCGGTGGAAGTACTAGCATGCAGAATTAGATCCGAAAAAAAAACCATCAAAGGGTTCCAAATTAAATTAAATGGAAAAGACTGTTATATAAAAATAAGTCAATTGGCAGATGATACAACCCTATATTTAAAATCCAAAAAGGATATATCTTTAGTTATGAACTTTTGGCTCATTCTCTGGCTTAAAATTAAATAGAACATAAACTGAAGGTATTTGGCTGGACAGACTTAAACATACTAAAGACAAATTCGAAAGAATCAATTGGACGAAAGAACCAATAAAAAGTTTAGGCATTTATTCTGGCTATGATAAAGAAAAGTGTCAAAAACTTAATTGTCAAAAACAAGCTGATAAAATTGAAAAGATTATAAGTACATGTATGTGGTCAAAAAGAAAGCTAAGTATGGTAGGAAGAATAACCGTAGTGAAGTCTCTCATACTCCCCAATATAACATATACAACAAGCAATATGATATTACCAAAAGATTTTATACAAAACATAAAAACTATGGTATATAACTGTATTTGGAATGGAAAAAGAGATATGAATAAAAGAGATATTTTTGTCACAAAACTATACTGAAGGGGGATTAAAAATGATTTTTATAGATACTTATATATCAACAATTCAACTCAAATGGATTAAACAATTACTTGTTGAAGAAAATGTTGAACAAAATTGGAAGATATTGCCAAAATATATTCTGAATAAGATAGGAGATAACTTTTTAATATTCAAGATGAATATAGACAATATAAGTTTTATTGAACAAAATATAATAAATTTGATTTTTTATTTGATTTTTTTGGTGTTTTAACGTCACTTTTAAGCACCGCTTTTGGGCTATTTCGTGGGCGCCAGTTTTTATTGGTGGAGGTAGCCGGAGTGCCCGGAGAAAACCACCGACCTTCGATAGGAAAACTGACAATCCTAGTCAATTAAGATTGGAGTCGAGTGCACCCGCACGACCGGGGTTCGAACTTACAACCTCAGTGTTGACTGGCTAGTGATTACAGTAGTAACTACTTAGACCACTCGGCCACCGAGACCCCTCAAAATATAATAAAACAAATTCCAGTGTTTTATCAGCAGTTAATAAAGACCTGGATAATAGCAAAAGAAAAAAACAATACAAAAGCCTACCATGTTTTGAGAAATAAGGAAACAAATAATACGGGACAACAAATATATTACAGTCAACAATAAATGTTTACTGTTTAAAAACTGGATACAGAGCCACATTCTAGTTATGGATGATTTATTAGATGGTGAATGAAACATATCGTCAGACATCATATCATACTAAGTAAACTTAAAAATAAGGAAAACTCGATTGCCGAATTAACAAAACCGAAGAAAGTTATTCCAAAACAGTGGACCAATATCATCAAAAACTCACCATCTAAACATACCCAAGTTAATATAAATAAAAATGAAAATCTTAATATCCTGAATAAAAAACTATTCAATCCCTAAATAACCATGACATTAATACCTTTTTACAAAAAACAAGAGGAA